ATACAGTAAGTAAGTCCCTAGAAAGAGCCACTGATAAAAGAATTGTATGTTAGAACTTTCAGTCAAAATTATTTTCACTTATTTGGCAAACATACACATAGTTTTACAGACTCCCTTTTTCATGGTCAGATATGGTATATAACTTATCTTTGCATTTCTGAAGTCATCAGCAACACAGCATCATCTGTATGTTAGATGCTCAATAAATGATTAAGTGAAGAAAGATAGATGATGTAATATTAACCCAATATTTGAGTTTCCTTCTAACCAATTCAGTGAGTAAAAAAGGGACAAAAGAACTCTGAAATTGATATTTAATGAATTTTTTTAAATCATTGTAATGACTTAATTACCCATGTTTATTGGGATCATGGTTTCAGAAAATTCTAGTCTAAACCATTTATTTTAGTTAGCATTTTTTTTTTTTTTGCCTTCTAGCGTAACTTTTACATGAGTATTAATTAGTAAAATTGACTAATTTGAGTTTTACATCTCTGCCATTGTGTTGATGAAATGGAGATGATACCTTTTATACTGTTTAATCTATTCTTAAATGTTTAGGTATTAATGTTTTGAATTAAATTACACAAATAATATATTAATGGTACCTGTAAAAAAAATTCAAAATGATATATAAGTATCAAATAGTCTACTGAAAACTATTTGAGTTATATCCTTGTGAAAATTTCTATAACTGTATGCTTTCATTCAGATGTAGAATATAAAACAAGAAACAAACTCTTAGAGACACAGAATGATGGCTACCATAGGGGAAGGGAATAGTGAAGCAGGAAGGGTGAATTGGGTAAAGGATGTCAAACATATGGTAATGGAAGGAAACTAGACTTTTGATGTTAAGCATACAGCAGTGTATACAGATATCATGTTATAATGTAAACATGAAATTTATATAATATTATTAACCAATGTTACCTAACTTAAAAAAAAAAAAATCAGTATTCTAAAAAGGCACGTTTTGGTGTGGCAAGTTCTGCTCCCCTATAGAATAGGAATCACTCATCATTTAAAGTTTAATATTACCATTTTCACTTGGGAGAACTTAATGCAATTTAATTAATATTAGAAACATTTTGAATACCTAAAGATGTATTTTTAAAGGAAAACATAAAACAAAATGTTTGATGGAAAAATCACATCAAAGAGCTAAACATTGTTCCAAAAATGGCTTACTAGCGACATCTGCTGGTACAATGCTGTTGTAAAGCTAATAGTACCTCAGGGAAGAAATTTCATGGAAATTAAGCAAGATAAAAAAATCTTTTGGTGAAACTGTTTTTTACTATCATTTACAATACCTCTCACTGAAAAATTATTGTGTCTTTGTACGCCCCCCCACTGGCATTTCACCAAGAATATTATTTTTAATAACAATAAAATTAAATTTTATACTTTCTTGTATATAGTCTTAAATTCTAACTTGATTAGTTGTGTATCAACTAAGTTGTTTGATGTAATGCCTCAAATTCTTTTTCCTCCTCTTCTTCCCTGGCTTTGTTTTTATGTCATACATAGCAGAGAACTTTGCAACTGTAGAGAGATTCAATAACTATGAGTTTAATCATACTACTTGTCACTTGTGTAGACTGACTTTGGTAGAAAGGTCTATGTACATGAACTAATTGGATTATCTTTATTTAAACTCAAAAAAAATGAGTGAATTTATTAGGAGGAGAAATTCATTATTTTTCATAGAAGATATTTTCTGCACTGGAAATTATGGAGGAATAAAATATATTCGGTCTTTGGAGATTTTTTTATTGTATCAAGTCCCATGGATTTAAGCATTACTTATATATGAATCAGACTTCATTCATTTTTGAACTCAGACCTGTATAGTCAGCTCCTTGCTTCCTTAACATTTCCATTTATAGCTAATATGCACCTTAAACTTAACATGCCTAAAACAAAATTTTGATTTTCTCATGAAACCCGTTTTCCCCCCAGTCTTTCTCACTTCAGTAAATGGACATTTTTTTATCTTTCTATTTGCTCACACTGAAAATATTTCAATACTTTATAAATTTCCTCTTTTGTTCATAACCCATGTTGAAACCGTCAAGAAATTTTTACCAATTTTACTTTTGAAAATCATCCAGAATCTTAATCACTTCTCTCCACCTCTACCACTGTGATCTAGACAAGCCACACTCCCCCCACCCCGAAATTAGCCTCCTTGCTTCTAACAGTGCCCTCCTGTCTCCTATTTCCCAACCAGCAGCCAAATGTTATCTTCTAATTTTAAAACACATATTGTCACTCCTCTGTGAGAACCTTCCAAAGTTCTTAACGTGCCTAGAGGGCTTTATAAGAATTGTAGACCACTCTCTCCCCCCATAGCTATTACTGTGACCTCATTTCCCACCACTGTTTCCCTCTCCTCTTTTGCTCCAGCTGCAGTAGCCTTGTTCTGCTTACCTGCCACACAGACCCCTCATCAAGGGCTATGAACTTGCTCTTCCTTCAAACTGAAGTTCTCTTCAATTCAGTAAGGTTTCTGATCAAATTACCAAATTCCACCTTCTCAGAGAGGCCCTTTCTGACCACACTATGTACAAAGATAAGGCCTGACTCCATCACTGTTTTCCCTCTTACTCTGTTTTTCTTTCTGCCAGAGCAGTGATCATCACATGACATATTTACTTTTTCAATGCTATCTCTCCCCAACCTAGAATGTCAGCCTTTTGAATTCTATTGTTCACTGTTACATCCTTAGAACCAAAACCAGTGCTTACACATAGTAGGCACTCAGTCAATATTTGTTGAATAAATCAGTGAGCCTCCATACAGGGAGGGAGATTGTGATTTAATTTACATTATAATAATCAAATCCATGAAATAGTGATGAACCTTCTAATGTGGTCTGCTTTGTAGAAATTTTCATGTTTATATCATACTTTTTACATTTAATACAGAGTATAATAGTGTTTCACAGTTAGCTTTAGGCTCCAACAATACCCAGTGTCAAAATGCAGGGCAGTATTACTATTTTAAAGATTCTTTTTATAGGAATAATTGCTTTTTTGTTCTTTTGACATCGGCATCTGACCCTCAATTACATTAGCAGACCTTACACACATGAATGGAAAGAAGAATAGCCCCTTTGGAATCCAGGCTAAGACTTTATCAATATGAAGTGCTTCCCACAGGGTTCAGCTGAAAGAATCCAACTTCCATTATAAAGAAATTGCAAATTCATTTGTATATGCCCTTTTATATTTGAAAGCTACTTTTTGATGTTTGGTCTGCAATTAGATTTATTGTTGAAGGTCACAATATGCCGTCCTGACTAGACCAAGTTGTCAGAACCCTTTATCTATTCAGCACTGCACAAAGACAAATGGCTATCTTTTAACAATAACACACTAAAGCTGCAATTTGTTCCCAGTTGTATATAATCTTTTAATCAATCTGCTGCTTTCTGTTTTCCAGTTAGTAGACCACTAGCCTATCCCCGCACCACCACACCTATCTAGAAATTCCTCAATTAGGGGTTTTAAATTACTGAGAAACACTTTCTTCAGATGGAAAAAGATAAGTTTAAGATTTTTAATGCTACAGTATTCCCATGCACTATTGTTAGCTTAACATATAAATTCTTTTGCCTTTACCTTCATTCCATAGGTAATTATGCAGTGTGTTAGCTAAATTCTGTGGTTGCATTTCTCACTGTTAACATGACCACAGAGTAAATCATGTTGCTTACTTGAAATGAGTTCTCAAGTGTTTTAAAACATCTCTGTGCATACGGAATGAATTTTGTCTGAGATTTTATCTGCCCTCCAATAAAATGTTTACCTAAAATTTAAGATAGATTTCTTATGTTTTTTGTACATTTTCTTTGTGACTTGTTATATAAAAGATATACAGAGAGAATTGCCCAATTAGACTTGAGGTTGTATTTTTTGTCCAAGAATAGCTAAGGTCATATTGATATACGTTACAACATTATTATATCACCAATCTTTATAGTTTCTCCAAGGGATTTTGATATTAGATACCCAAAGATTCCTTAGTAACTTGATCATAACTATAAAGCAAAATAATGTCCTCATTTTAAAATTTTGTTGAAATAGTTTTTGCAGATCTGACTGTCTTTTTTTTTTTTTTTTTTCTTTTTCTTCTTCTTAATTGTCATGTGGTTTGAGTCTCTCTTAATTCAATGGAATTCGTTTTTTCAGGAGGAGGTATGACTTTTAAGTTAGATGAATATTTTTTCCTCCAGAATTCTGACTACTATTTATTTTGTAACATCTGGGAAGTTGCTACATTTTGGGGCCCTCTGCACAGCTATGGATTAGAGAAACAACTATTCATACAGTTGTGATATAATGATATGAGACAACACATATAAAGGCCCAAAACAATGCTCAGCAATAGGAAGTACTCATTAAATATTATTTGGAATCCTAGCTCTGTGCTTTCCCCACACCCCTACTCTGTTCCCCATGCTCTGTGATATGAGTGGGCTTATTCAGAAGTTAAAACTATTGAACTAAACTTGAAGCTTTTTTTATGTGTGTGCCTGCCAACTCTGCATTGCTCTGCATTCATTGCATTAATAAGTAGGGAGAAGTCAGGACCTTGAATTGACCTTTGCATAATACCCAGCAGGTGTATGTGTCCTTTTACTTCAAAACAAATAGCTCCCCTATGGATTGGGTAGAATGAAGAATGTTCCACTCCCAACCTTCATTTGAAGTCCACATGGAGCCCTGGGAAGATTTGCTTAAATCTCTTCAACCTGCAAATCTGAGAGTTGAGCCTAAAGTTATGGCAATATGATGTAGGAAAACATTATTTTATGTAAGATAGCTTGCTTCACTATAGCTTATTTTGACCATTTGTACTGCTCTGATTATCAGCCTAAAAGTTTCACCTTTAAAAAAATAATGATTTTGCAGAAATATTTCAATAAATTAATATGCTATTTTATGTCTCAAAACATGTAATTTAATCATTGTACATTTTTGTTGTTGTAGGTGCAAAGATGGTTTGAAAGGATTCACATTCTCCGCACTTAGGTAAGGAGCATATTTTACTTTATGTTAAGAAGTAGTAACATAAAGTAACAACATTACTAAAAAGTAATGTTGTTATAGATAATTGTAATATTTATTGGCTCAATTTTTAAGTTGGATGTAATTTTAGAAGTAAAAAAAGTGACGTTGTAAGTATTTCATTGAAGGCATAATTTATTAGATCTTCACCTAAATGGTCAGTCAGTCAGCATCTACTTTGGGACCTATTGTGTGCCTTATATCATGAGGCATTAGAAAATAATTACCAGAACTCTCTCCTCAGGTGGCTTAGAAAGACAGTTTCACATGAACAATTATTGGAATATTAAGTACTTAATGGTGTGGTACCAGATTATGGGGCTTTTAAAAAATATATATTTTATTGATTTTTTTTTTTTATAGAGAGGAAGAGAGAGGGATAGAGAGTCAGAAATATTGATGAGAGAAAATCATCGATCAGCTGCCTCTTGCACACCCCTTTTTCCCCCTTCCCGGGGATGTGCCCGCAACCAACATACATGCCCTTGACTGGAATCGAACCTTTCAGTGCGCAGGCCAATGCTCTATCCACTGAGCCAAACTGGTTTTGACAGATTATGGGCTTTTTTAAGGTAGGACTCAAGCTTTGTCAAATATCTTATAGCCCATCACTTTCCACAGTAATTGAAACATGGTGGACATTCACTGTGGAAATGTTGGCTAAAATTAGCATTGTATTTTGTAGTTCACCATGTATTTTCACAACAATTCCAAGGTGGTATTTTTATGCCCTTGTGACATGATGAAAAAATCTGAGGTTTAGAATGTTTGACTAATTTAACATCACACTGTGATTATATATACTAATTCCAAACCCAGTGCTCTTCCAGTTTATGTCATAAATGTTGCCTTTTTTCTTCTTCAAAGTATATACAGCAAGTGCTTAGTGAAGGTTAGTAGTGTGGTATTTACTGCAAATATGGGAGGGAAGCATTAGGGTAGGCTTCCGTCCTAGGAGAAACTTATATGATTGTCTCAGCAGATTGTTTTGAGGGTCAAATGATCTAATGTAGGAAATGTGTTTAGAACTATATGCATGACACATAGTGCTCAAAACATTGGTTATAATTATTTAAATTTTATTTATTTATCAGTTACAGTTGACATGCAATATTAGTTTCAGGTTTATAACATAGTGACTAGAGGTTTGATGCATGAAATTCGTGCGGGCGGGGGGGGGGGGGGTGGTCCTTCAGCTCAGCCTGTACCCTCTCCAATCTGGAACCTCTTGAGGGATATGCGACTTCTCATTTACTGGGATCCCAGTACTGGGATTGGGCCTAAACGGGAAGTTGGACATCTCTCTCACAATCCATGACTGCTGGCTTCCAACTGCTCACCTGCCTGCCTTCCTGATTTCCCTAACTGCTTCTGCCTGCCAACCTGATCACCCCCTAACCACTCCCCTGCCAGCCTGATTGATGCCTGCTCTCCTGCCAGCCTGATTGCCCATAACTGCCCTCCTCTGCAGACCTGGTCACCCCTAAATGCCCTTTCCTGCCAGCCTGGTCACCCCTAGTGCCCTCCCCTGCCAACCCAGTCACCCCTAACTGCCCTCCCCTGCCAGCCTCATCTTCCTTAACTGCTCTTCTCTGCTGGTCTGGTGTTATACCCCCCACCCCAACTGCCCTCCCCTGCAGGCCTGGATACCCCCCAAACTTCACTCCTGCAGGCCTGGTCACCCCCAACTTCCCTTTCCTGCAGGCCTGATCCCCCCCAACTGCCCTCCCTTGCAGGCCAGGTCCCCCCTAACTACTCTCCCCTGCAGGCCTGGGTCCCTCCCAACTGCCCTTCCCTGCAGGCCTGGTCACCCCCAACTGTCCTCCCCTGCAGGCCTAGTCTGCTCCAGCTGTTTTTCCCTGCAGGCCTGGATCCCCCACAACTGTTCTCCCCTGCAGGCCTGGATCCCCCCACCTGCCCCCCACCCCACTGTCCTGATTGCCCAAAACTGACCCCCACTGATGGCCTGCTCACCCCCAACTGGCCCCCTTGCTGGTCTGCTTACTCCCAATGGCCCTTGCCATTTTGGCCTGATCACCACCACCCCTTCCCCCAAAGGTCCCAGCCCCTCCTTTTTTTTCCACCCACCCTCCCTCCCTCCCTTCCCTCCCTCCCTCCCTCCCTCCCTCCCTCCCTCCCTCCCTCCCTCCCTCCCTCCCTTCCTTCCCTTCCTTCCTTTCTTTCCTTTCCTTCCCTTCCTTCCCTTCCTTCCCTTCCTTCCCTTCCTTCCCTTCCTTTCCTTCCTTTCCTTCCTTTCCTTCCTTCCTTCCTTCCTTCCTTCCTTCCTTCCTTCCTTCCTTCCTTCCTTCCTTCCTTCCTTCCTTCCTTCCTTCCTTCCTTCCTTCCTTCAGTACCTCCTTGAGCGGAGGCCAGGGCTGCCTGGAAACTTGCCTTCCTCCATTGCCGGGGGCAATTCAAGCCTCCTGCTCAGCTCCAGCTCCATAGGCACTGCCATTTTTGTTGAGATTTATTTATCTTCTATAATTGAAACTTTGTAGCTTTGAGTGGAGGCCAGGGCCAGCCAGGGCGGGAAGCTTGGCTTCCTCCAATGCTGAGGCAACGCAAGCTTCCTGCTTGCTCCAGCTCCATGGCCAGCCACCATCCTTGGTTGGGTTAATTTGCATACTCACTCTTGATTGGCTGGTGAGTATGGCTTGTGGGTGTAGCCCAGTGATGGTTAATTTGCATGTTTCTCTTTTATTAGTGTAGATTATACAGTTATGTAACTTACAGTGTTATCATCTAGATAAGTCTAGTACCCGTCTGACATCATACATCATTATTAAAATATTAGAGGCCCAGTGCATGAAATTCATGCACTCAGGGTAGGGGTTCCCTCAGCCTGGCCTGTGCCCTGTCACAGTGCAGGAGCCCCACAATTGATTACCCCAAATAGGTAGGCTCTGCACACCCATCCGGGTCTCCTCAATGAATTGCCCCAAAGAGGTAGACCAGAGCCAGGGGTCCCACCTCCATGCCAAGTGGAGTCAGGAGGCTGGACCCCCAGACTCTCTCAGGCAGACCTCGCCACATGGAGCCAGGACCCCCAGGCAGGCCTCGCCACATGGAGCTGGGGGACCGCCAGGCAGGCCTTGCCTCGTGGAGGCTCCAGGCCGCGCTTGCAGCATCAAGCCCAGCTCCACCCACCTACGTGCACCTGCTGTGCATGCAGCCATCTTGTGACAGCGTGAGGGCATCACAGTATGATGACCATGTAGGCTTTTATTAGTAAGGATTATTGACTATATTTCTATGCTATACTTCACCTCCTGGTTACTGTTTGTATAACTGGCAACTTGTACATGTTAATCCCTTCATCCAATCCTTAATTTCTTTCTCATCTGGCAACCATTAGTTTGTTCTCAGTATCTATTTGTTTGTTTATTCACTTATTTATTTATTTTTTTTAGATTTTACATGTGAGTGAAATCATATAGTATTTGTCTTTCTGTAAATTATTTTACTTAGCATAATACTCTGTAATTCATCTATGTTGTTGCAAGTGGCAAGATTTCATTCTTTTTTTTATCGCTCCAAATATTTTGATGGATCAATATATATATATATATATACACACACACACACACACACACACACACACACACACACATATATAACATCTTGATTGGTGAACATTTTGGCTATTGTAAATAATGCTGCATTGAACTTAGGGGGTGCATTTATGTTTTTATTTTTTATTTTATTTTTTTAATATATTTTATTGATATTTTACAGAGGGGAGGAAGGGAGAGAGATAGAGAGCTAGAAACATCGATGAGAGAGAAACATCCACCAGCTGCCTCTTGCACACCCCGTACCGGGAATGTGACCGCAACCATTGTACATGCCCTTGACCGGAATCGAACCTGGGACCTTTCAGTCCTCAGACCAACACTCTACCACAGAGCCAAACCGGTTTCGGCTAAGGGGTGCATATATCTTTTTAAAGTAGTGTTATGAATTCCTTTGGATAAATACCTGGACGTGGATTTTCTGAGTCATATGATAGTTCTACTTTAATTTTTTGAGGAACCTCTATACTGTTTTCTATAGTGGCTGCACCAATTTGAAATCCCACCAATAATGTATGAGGGTTCTGTTTTTGCCACATTCTCACCCACACCTGTTTGTTGATTTATTTATTTATTTTATTATTTTAAAAAAATTTTATTAAATATTATCTCTGTACATACACCATTGCCCCCCCTCCCATATATGTTTGTTGATTTATTGATGGTAGCCATTCTGACAGGTGTGAGGTGATATTTGATTGTGGTTTTAATCTGCATTTCTCTGATGATTAGTGATATTGACCATCTTTTTATATATATATTAGAGGCCCAGTGCATGAAACTCATGCAAGGTGAGGGTGTCCCTCAGCCTGGCCTGCACCCTCTCCAAACTGGGACCCCTTGGGGGGATGTCGGACTGCCGGGTTAGGCCTAATCCTGGCAATCGGACATTCCTTTCTCAATCCAGGACCGCTGGCTCCTAACCGCTTGCCTGCCTGCCTGCCTGATAGCCCCTAACCACCTCTGCATGCATGCTTGATTGCCCCCAACTGCCTTCCCCTGCCGGCCTGATCACCCCCTAACTGCTTGCTCCCCATGCCAGCCTGATTGCCCCCTAACTGCTTGCTCCCCCACACTGGCCTGATCACCCCCTAACTGCTTGCTTCCCAACGCCAGCCTGATCTCGCCCCTAACCACCTCTGCCTTGGCTCCTGCCCCCATGGCTTTGTCCGGATGAAGGCAGGATACCCGGAAGATGTCCAGTCAACCCGTTCTAATTAGCATATTATTCTTTTATTAGTATAGATTGGCCATTTATATGTCTCCTTTGGAGAAATATCTATTCAGATCCTTTGCCCATTTTTAAAACAGACTGCTTTCTTTTTGGTATTAAGTTGTGTGAGTTCTGTATATAGTTTGATTTTTAACACATTGTTAGATGTATCATTGGCAAATATCTTCTCCTATTCAGTAGGTTATCATCTCATTTTGTTGTTGGTTTCCTTCCCTATATAAAAACTCTTTAGTTTGATATAGATCTATTTGGTTATTTTTTTTGTTTGTTTGTTTCCCTTGCCTGAGAGATATATAAAAAATAGTATTACTAAGAATGATGTCAAAGAGTTTACTGCCTATGTATTCTAGAAGTTTGGGTCTTCAGAATAAGTATTTAATCTATTTGAGATTATTCTTGTATATGGTATAAGAAAGTGGTCCAGTTTCATTTCTTTGCATGTTTCTGTCCAGTTTTCCCCACACCATTTATTAAAGATACTGTCTTTACCTCATTGTATATTCTTGCCTTCTTTGTCATAGATTAATTCCATATTGACATGAGTTTATTTTGTGTTCTCTATTCTGTTCCATTGATCTGTGTGTCTCTGTTTATGCCAATCATGCTTTTTTATTACTATAGCCTTGTAATATAGTTTCATATCAGGTTACATACCTTCAAATGTGTTCTTTTTCAAGATTGCTTTAGATATTAGCCATACTATGTCCTTTGATTGAAACAGTTAGTCTGCTTACATTTAGTGTAATTATTGATAGGTATTATTTTATGACTTTTTGTATTTCTTCTCTGTTTCTTATTACTTTGCTCTCTTTTCTTGTATGTTGTTGACTTTGTATAGTGTCATATTTGGATTCCTTTTTATTTCTTATAGATTTTTTGGTTTGTGGTTACCATGTGTTTCATATATACCAAGCTATGTTTATAGCTGTCTACTTCAAGTACCTAAGTTCAAACAAATTCTAAAATCTCTATAATTTTTACTTATCCCCTCCACGTTTATGTTTTTACTTATTGTATATGTATTTGTGTGTATTCCATAATTTATTGTTGTAATTACTCATCATCTTTCTACTTTTGTCTTTTAACCTTTGTACTAGCTTTATAGTTGGTTGACCCACTGCTTGTACTATTTACCTTTGTGAGAATTTTTTCCTTATTCATAGTTTTAATCTTTTTTTATTTAAAGGAGTGCCTTTTAACATTTTCTGTACTTCTGGGTTAGTGGTGATGAACTCCCTGAGCTTTTTCTTGTCTGAGAAGCTCTTTATCTCTCTTTCTATTCTAAATGATAGCCTTACTAAGTAAAATAATCTTGGATGTAGGTCTTTGCTTTTCATCACTTTGTATGTTTGTGTCAGTGTCTTCTGGCCTGCAGAGTTTCTATTGAGAAATCAGTTCACAGTCCTGTGGAAGCTGCCTTATACATAATAAACTGCTTTTCTGTCACTACTTTTATGATTGTTTACTTATCTTTCACCCTCAGCATTTTAATTATGCTGTGTCTTGTGTGGGACTCTTCACTTTACCATGTTTGTGACTCTCTGGACTTCTACGTCTATTTCCATCACCAGGTTAGGGGAGCTTTCAGTCATTATTTATTCAAAAAAAGTTTCCATCCTTTGCTCTCTTTTCTCCTGATATTCTTATGATGCAAATGTTGGAATGCTTGATGTTGTACCAAGGGTCCCTTAAACTATTTTTTTTAATATGCTGTTCTGATAAAGTGTTTTCTGCTACCTTGTCTTCCAGATTGCTCATTTGATAAACTACTACATCTAAGCTGCTCTTGATTCCCTCTAATATATTCTTCATTTCGAACTGATTTTTTTTTTAAAATGTTTCATGTCTCTTTGTTGACATTCTCAATAAATTCATCTACTATTACCCTACCTTCCTTGGGCATCTTTATAACCAGTGTTTTGCATCTGGTAGATTGTCTCTATTTTGTTTAGTTCCTTTTCTGAAGTTTTTCTCATGTACTGTTCTCTCATTTTGGGACATGTTTCTTTGTCTCTACATTTCGGGTGACTCCCCGTCTTTGTTTCTATGTATTAGGTAGATCAGCAATGTCTCCCACTCTTGGCAAAGTGGCCTTATGTAGTAGATATTCTGTGAGACTCAGTGTGTAGTGTCCCTGATCATCTCTGGCAGGTGGTTCAGGTGGTCTCAGGTATTGTGTGTGCCCTTCTGTTGTAGGTGAGCTTTGAATGGGATATCAGTGGATGGGATTGTATCATATCTCAGGCTGACTGGCAGACCATCCCACAGAGCAGCAGTTGCTTTAGTGGGGCTCTGGTGCCAGCCAAGTCTGCCTTTTGGGTGTGTTGTTTGTGGACCTGGTTGGGTGCTGCTGTGGTATAATTTGAAGCAAGCCAGTGGGTTTGTTGATTCTGGAGGCTCTTGGGAGAGGCTGTGGTATAGGCCAAAGTCAGTTCCTCCTGGCTTGAATTGACTACTGGGAGCTACAAACTGATCTGTGATTTGTTGCTGCTTTTGCTAAACTTAGAGGTGTTTGGAAGAGGTTGTGCTGTGAACCAAGACTGGTTGCCATTCTGGGCCCTGGACTCTTTAGTGGGCCCCATAATGTAAGCTGAAGCCAGCTGCCTTGTGCTGGGTTTTTGGCTATTTACTTGATGTTATATTCAGGCCAACACTGGACTCAGCTTATGTCAAGCTTGAGGCCACCTGATGGAAATTGCAATGTATATTGAGACCAGTTATCCCTTATACCAGACTTGGGGCTGCTTTGCAAGAGGTGCAGGGCACACCAAGCCCAGCTGCTACTTGTTTGGGGTTTGTGGATCTTTGAGAGATCTTAGGAAAGTCTATAGTGAGGCTTAAGCAGCCTACTTAAGCAACTTGGGTCAGGAGTGTGTACATACTAGATATATATGACCTTATACGGCACTGCAGCTACTTAAAGTGACATTAAATATAAATTTACACTAAAAAATGAGAAACACATTAAATTGTAACTAATAAGTTTTAGAGATAAAATAAATTTTCATCATTAACTAGTTGATCCAAGTTAATAGTTCATCTGCTTCTTTGTTTGAAAAAACTTTGTAATAGCTTAAAAAGGTGGTGACTTAATTTAAAAGGGTGCTTTATAAAAGTGCTATGTTATATTTTACTTGGTTAATTTAATTTTTAAAAAACCTGCATTGTCAAACAACTGACTATTGACATTTTTTGAGTATTCAGATTTCAAAAGCCAATTTTTAACTTTTAATACATTGATTAGATTTGACATATATTGTGAAAAATATTTCAAATGATAGGTACTTTCCATATTTTATTTATATATAAACAAAATCAGTTTATTTTCTCATTGATATATTTTTTTAAAATGGTGAAAAATGTCTCACATTGTGTTTTTTTCTTTAGGTTCATTGTAGGGAAGGAAGAAATTCCCACACATTCTTATTCACCAGAGATAGCATACGCAAAAGTGGAACAAAAGACAGAGAAACAGGAGGAAAAATCTCGAGGAATGAATATAATTGCTCTAGTCAGGAAGCTTGTGGATTCAATGTGAGTTCTTTATATTGATATTTTAGCACACTTTGTCTTGATTTATATAATATTATTACTATGCTAAAGTATTTTTGTGTTTGTTTTTCAATTTTGATGATTTTTTTTTTTTACCAGAAATTGTGCAGAATTTTATAAAAGGCACATGGTGGCAAGTGAATGTTATTAATATTTCTGTCACGACTATAGATAACCATATGCCTTTAAAATAGGTTACATCAAATTGAAATACTTTTCTATTGCAAACTAGGCAGAGTTGCAGGAGGCTAGAATAGGGAACTTTAAGAACAATTATTAATACCATGAACTAATCAAATGTACCAAGTGTGGAAAGGAGAAAAAGAAAAGTTCTGAGAGAAATTTAAGATGCAGGAATAATACGGAGCAAGCCTTAAGTAAAGGCTATTTGGAAGAGTGGAAATTTTTAGGGTTTTAAAGAAAAATAAATCTTTAATTGTATTTTATACAAAGAAGTCTATGTTTCATACAAAATAAACCTTGATTTGTACTTCAAGTGTAAATATTTAAGAAAGTAAATTTAATAGTTTAAAATTAGGCCAGCTGATTAAAATAATATTGGTAGTGATGTTTTAGAGAATATGACATGAGAAGGCAATATAGAAAGTCGGGGGTGGGGGTCAGTTAAGAAATCTGAGGCTCTTTACAGAATTGGAAGACTTACATTTGGCTCTCATTTTGCCCCTGCTGGTTGTATCCCAAAGTCTTCATGGGTTAACCAGGGTCAGTAGTCTCTATTAAGGAGTGTTTTGTGCATTAAATGAAATAACATATGACTTGACTCACATACATGAGCACAAAGTAGGTGCTCAAAATGTTTACTGAATTTAAAGATTGTCTCTTCATTTTGGCATACATCACATACAGAAGCTAAGAGAACAAAAAGGAATAGTAGATGGCAGGAATAATTTTGGTAGTGATCTTAATAAGATCAAGAATTTGCTTAATAGCAAGTTCAAAATGGTTATGAGTTACCTTAGTGGAGAGAAGGGATTCCTCTTAGGACATCACTTCAGCAGGAATCCTAGGGGAATGCAGAGAATGTGTCCTGTGAGGGATGATGCCATGGTCAGAACTGATCAGGTCATGGCAGAACTTGTCAAGTAGCCTTAGGGAGCGCTCTGCTATGAGAGCAGATGCAGGATAATACAGAAGCAGAGCAGAAAATGCAGGGCCTGGGCAGTCCAGAACTTAGGAAGCCATTTTAATGAAAGCATAAGGAAAGAGTAAATGACAGTATGGTTGGTATCAGAATTTAACTGCACTAGCAGAGAGAGTTTAATAACTTCTGTTGTAGCTCTGGTAGCAATGGCTGAGAAATGTCTTTGAGAGGACACTTAGCTGTATGAAGAGTGATGGTTTCTGTAAGGCACTTCTTCTCTGATTCATGCCCCCAGCTTTAATCACTCAGCAACTTCACGTGACCAGATATATTCTGTCATCCTAATGATATAAGGGCTGTGGTCCATGCGAACCATTGCTGTCACCCTTGAGTAGAAAAGTCTGTCTGTAGACTCCAGCCACAGAGCAGAATTGGATTTCAGAAAAAGTCTTACTAATCAATTTGCAAATGGAACTACATACATGTGGAGCCAGAATATTGCTCTACAAGTAATTGTTATAAGCAGGAAAAAGTGAGTGTGTTCCAGCCATGAAGCCAGTTCATTACCCACCATCTGAAAGAGTTATAAAAACTGCTCTTCAAAGAGAAAGGGGGATAGCTAAACCTTCGTTAGATGTCTGACTTATTTTTTTATGCCCAGAGTAAATAAATGGTGCAGGAGTCAGCACACAAAAAAATCACAATGAGTGTGTCTTGAACAGTAGTCCTCCCAGCAGAAATGTTTATTAAGTACTCAAGGACTAAGTGCTTTAAGGTTAAATCACAAATAACTTACTTTTGAATTCCCCACAATATATATCTATATTTACTTTAAAAACTGAATTTTGAATTCCAATACTGTATCATGTTTCTTTTCCAGATGTTTTCTCTCAAATATAATTAAGTATAAATTCCTGTAACTTGAACACATTCTCATTATGATTTTTGCTCAAGTGCTGACTTCATGGATGATTTATGGCCATTATATTCTATAAGTGATTTAAAGCTTCCAAAAGATCTGGCAGAGTAAAGAGATATATATATGCATATTTTTAATATTTAGTCACATATATTTACCACTGTGGTTTTTCTGTTCCACATTAAAATGTTTTGACTATAGTCACGTATTTTATACAATGTGTCAAATGGTGAGCAGCAAAGGAAAAGAATCTGTTATCTTGCTTCTGTATGTCCTAAGAAACCAAAAGATGCACACATTTAGAAACAAGTAGGTAATGATTTCTACCTTTTTGGTTAGAGAGGTTTAAGCATATCTATACACACACACACACACACACACACACACACACACACATTTTAATTATAATTAGTGTCTTGCTTTAATTTCAGATGTAAGCATGGACCAAGGCATAGATGTTGCAAACACTATGAAGATAATTGCATCTCTTATTGCATTAAAGTAAGTATATAAAAGTATCTTTCAATTTCTATATTTCTAAATTAAATATAGAAGTAATTTACTTATTAAAATATAATTTCAAATTAAATGGAAACGTTGACAATACTTCCTGTCATTCTTTGCATGTGACTTGGAGAATAAGAATTTTTTGAGATATAGTAACAATTTAGCTTAATATTCACTTACCAGATCTTTAGTTAAATAATTTTAAATTTTGCTTATTTAGAAGACAGGGTGAAACAACAACAACAACAAAGACAAGGCCCCTGGACTGTGTTGTGTGCTGGCAGATCAGCAGTCACCCATGCACACTGCATAGTCTGGTACAGTAGCGTTAGATTTTGGACTTGTAAAGCTGCTACATTTTTTTAGGCATGGAGTAACTGGAGCCTGTCCACAGTTGCTCCACATTAAGCAAGTTAACTGTGCCCACTGGCATAAATTCCTTGATCCCTAATATATTAGTGACTCTCCCTACCCGCCCCCACCCGTGCCTGCCGTCCCCCATCACTACTCACTTTGGGAAGGAAGTTATTTTCCTTACAGTTAGTCTGGCACAGATGGCACCACCTGCTGCTGCAAGTTCTCCAGTTTTGGATGGTGCTCTAACAATTCTGATGCCTTAAAAAGTGTATGATCTTTCTCACAACATCTGATCCGCACTCAGCTGCTGATAAGAGCAGAGTTGTGCAGCATCCTCAAAGGCAGCCTCCTGATGGTCACTCAGAAGGGAGGGCCCATATCTCATTAGTGCTTCTGGATGTGCGTGCCCGTGGCCCAGTTGCTGATGGTGGCATCAGCCCAAGCCAACACCTTACCCATGGAGTCCCCAAAGACATGGCCAGACATGTAAGAGCGATAGCGTATTCTTTCAGTTGTGCAATGGTTTTTTGACACTCTCCTTCCAAATCTGATTTCCTGTTGCACTTTTAAAATGCCAAAAAAAAAAAAAAGAGAAAACAAAACAAAACAAAATAACACATCATTGCCGGCAGTCTCAGAGTCTGCCACTCTGCCATTCCCAGAGTTATTCTTCCCTCCAACCGGACACTGTTTCAAGGGGAGACCTTAGGAGGAAAATTAAGAGAAGCATCTGATTCAATCAGAAGAACTTGGAAAAGTTTGGGGAGAGGGTGGTAATATTAAAAATTAAATGAGAATTACTAAGCAATGAAAAAGATAGAGTCTTTCTTTCTAATGTGTACCACTACTATAAACTTGGTAATTTATGTATAAGTTGGAGTATTTTGCCTATGAATATAAAATTTGGAGACCTCTGGGTAAGGAATTTACAACACAAATGTAAAATATTTTGGCAGTGCACCTCATTATTCCAAGGACTCAGTTACACACTTGTTAAATCATATCCCTGGGTAAATAATCAAATGAATTACATTCCTCTCAGCTCACTATACTCCATTCACACTAACTTTTGCCTGTATTCTCATACCTGCCGACCTCATTTTTGGCTTTGTGCTACCTGAAATGTTTTTCTCATGTTAGCTCCTCCTCTTTTGTGTCTACTTAAATGTCACATCCTCGGTAGCCTTCCTTTACCAGTCAATCCTAGTGCCCTACTTCCTAGAACACTTATTGCAATCTGTAATTATTTTTGTTTTATATACTTCCTTATTTTCTCTTCCTCTAATGAGCATGAAAGCCTCACTGAAGGCAAGGACTTTGTATCTTCTTCACTTTTTCGCAGCATCTAGTGTAATGCTTAGCACATAAGAGGCAGCAGTGAATATCTCCTGAATACATAGAAGGGTGAATGGATGGAGGAATGAATGGCCTCTTGAAAACCAGGTGAAAAGACTGAACATAAGTGCGATCCTTGAATTTTTAGATTAATATTATAAGGTTATCAAAGATAGAAGTGTGAACATTTCGTGCTTCAAACTAATACTAGGCAGTTTCAGTTAAGCAAATGCTTAATAATTTATACTAATTGATTGGACAATTTAATTTTCATTTTTTAACCAGGTATTAGTTTAAGGTAAATTAACGAATGTTTCTTCATAGTAATTTTTTTTTTTTTTCTAAAAAAGAAGGCTGTTATCTGGAAGATATAGATCTGACCTCTGGCTCTTAGCAGCCAAGCACTGCTAAGAATGTAGACATTTCCCCATTTCACCAGGGTCAGAGGAGAATGGGAGACCAGTATTAAAATGTATTGTTTGAATCATGTATAAAATCCTACTCTTTTTTGATAACTTTTGTTTTGTGCTAATTGGTATTTTTCAGTCTCTCGGTGTTAAGTGACATCTAAACTTCATTTTCCCAAATACTGAAATGAAATTGACCAACATTAGTCCTCTCTCTGTTCCCTTTTGCACAATAGGGAAATAGTAGCAGGTAATACGAAGGAATGTTGGAAGCAAATATGGATTAGTAGCAGATTTGCTTTTACAGGTTGTGTGGAGTATTCCTCAAAGCTACCATTCTCTAGAGATGTTTAAGCATAAATATAAAACTAGATATAATTACTTATTTTTCTGGGAAGGTCTTTTAACCTATCATTTAAAAAGTTGATACCAAAGGTCTAGATAAATAATAAAATTATCTTTCTGTCAAAAGAATTGCTGCTCATACTGATGAGTAAGGAGTTGCCAAAAGGATTTGGTTTTGTTAACTTTTTTTTTTTTTTTTAATTTCAATGCTTTTGTTTCTAAAATTTAGACGTGGTTTAGGAATTAAAAATCCTGATTATTCTAAACAAATGTCAATTTTGGTGCATAGACAAGGTTGGCTAAGTGCTTGTGAAACTTTTTTCTCTGTAAATCAAAGAAAGTGTATTTACTGCAGGATTTGCCCTTGTTTTTAAGGTAATTGCTTTAAAATTGAGTTTTTTAACATTTAATTTTGAAAATGGCTATTAAATATACTTGTGTCAGTTTTTTGGAATTCTGTTTTATTCTGAGACAGTGAAATTCAAATCTAGCAGACTTTAAAACTTGGTGGTAAATCAGAATTTCCTCCCCATTTTCTCCAGGGTTTCATCAGAATGTTTAGCGTGGGATACTTGATCCAGTGCTGCCTCCGAATTCCCTCTGCATTTAGGCATCTGTTTACAAAGCCATCAAGGCTGCTTTCTCTCTTCTACAATAAAGAAAATTTTCAGCTTGGAGCTTTTCTGGGCTCTTTTGTTAGTATATACAAGGTAAGGTTTTCAGAACAGAAAAGAAAAATGGGAAGTAAATAACATGGCTATTGTTAGTATGTGCCCTGTGTCCTTAACTCATCTATCATTTTTTAAAATGCTTCTTTTTGTAGTATTCAAAGATGTATATAATATATTGGAAATTAAGGTTGGGGAAATTTCTTATTTTATAATTTTATTTATATGCTTGGAAGTACATACATACTTGCATTTACACATAATATTAAATATTTTCAGACTCACATTATTTTTTCCCCCCAATAATGGAGACACTGAGAAAATACAACATTTCTAACATTTCTAACATAAAACAATGACATTAATATGGTTGGTCTATTTGTTTTAAATTATTTTTATGCCTGGTTTTAATTTAAACATATTTCAGACCCTCCTAGCTGATGACAACACTTAATAGAATCAGTATGATTTTCTGTTGTAACATACATATAGGCAATGACTTATTTTATTTTTCCACTCACTATTCCTACTACACTCTCTTACACCCCTTTTTGCATGTTCCTATAAATGTATCCATACATGTATAAGCATATTCCTAAACACACATTAACGATACAATACTCTACAATTTTAAATAATGGCCTTTTGTTTAATGAGAATTACTAATATGTAAATAATATTTCTGGTACGTTATTAACCAGTTAAAATTTAGATTCTAAATCTAAATTCTAAATAAATGTGATAACTAAGGTCAATCTGTATGCATACATCTGAAACACATGTTAAATACAAAGTTATTTCTGAAAAAATGGAATTCTGGCATTATTTTGGATATCCACTTATAAAAGGTGGATACTCACATACTTTTTCATTCCTAATTCTAGTGTTTGTATTTATTCTTAACATAAACTTTTAAGTGCTTTCAGGTGGACTATCCAACACTTTTTGCTCACATAGGTTATTCTCTACTAACATATCTCAGAGCATATATATATTTTTATTTCTGTTACTATTTATTTGCTTAGGTAAAACAAACTTATGATATTAAACTAAGGAAAATACAAGTGGGTCAGAAAACCTTTTAATAGAAAATATTCCTACAGTGTGTTCCAAAGCTGTATGTAATTTAAAAAAATATTATCAGTGCCTTTAGAATCTTCATAAGAATGTAATCAGGAGAAAAACAAACAAGCTTATTTCTCCTGTGTCTTCTTGGTGAAGGGACCCTTTCTCCACTTTGTAATGTTCCTGTTTATCCCTGGCAATAATCCTGTTCTGAAGTCTACTTTGTCAGATAGTAATACAACTACTCCAATTTTCTTTTGATTATATTTGATAGTGTATTGTTTCTATCTTCTTATTTGAAATTTTCTGTTTTCATTTTAAAGGTTGGTTTCTTTTAGACTGCAAATAGTTGGTTCTTTTTTTTATCCAATTTGCTAATCTCTATCTTTTAACTGGTGAGTTTAGACTGTTTATACTTAATGTTTTTATTTGTTATGGCTGAGTTTGAATTTATCTTCTTGCCAGTTGTTTTGAATTTGTTCCATATTTTATTTTGTTCTTCTTTCTCTTTTTTTTTATTTTCTGTCTCCTGGATTTTTAAAAATATATTTTACTTTTTAAAATTAATTTTAATAGCTTTATGTATTCTGTCTGTGCTGTACGCTTATTATTTATACCTCTTTTAAAAATGTAGTAATTTCCTTAGCATTTATAATAAATATTTTCAATATATTATACCACTTCATTATAATGTAAGAATCTTTCAACACCATAATCCTAATTTTTCCTTTCCATTTTTTTTTGTGTGCTATACTTTTATCTTTTCATATGTTATAAACCCCACAACGCAATGTTACTATTTTTGTTTTGTATAAGGAGTCAGAAAACTTTTTCTGTAAAGGGCCAGTTAGTAAATATCTTAAGCTTTGTGGACTATATGGTCTCTGTCATGACTACTCAAATATCTTGTATAAAAGCAGCCAAAGACAATACATAAACGAATGAGCATGGCAGTATTCCAATAAAACTTTTATCACATTGTAATAACAATTGTGCTTTTTTATAAATTAGAATTTTATATAATTCTTACATCTCACAATATATTATTTTTGTATTTATTTTTATCCATTTAGAAGTAAAAAGACAATCTTAGCTTATGAACCATATAAAAGCGAATGGCAGGGCAGATTTAGCTAGTGAGCCATACATAATCTTCTGACTTCTGCTTTAGACAGTTAATTCAGTTTTACAGCAGTTAAACATTTGCCTTCAATTTACCATTTCAGGAGGTCTTCATTTCTTTTTGCAGATCTAATTTTTTATCTGGTATCAGATTCCTTCTGCATGCAGAACTACCTCGGTAACATTTCAGCTTCTGTCTGTCTGAGAAAGTCTTTTTAACCTTCAAACTGAAAAATATTATTTCTGGGTATAGAATTCTGGCTTGATAGATTTTTAGTTTATCCAGCTTTCTCTCCTTGTTAGAGTGGGATTGATACTTTCCCCAGTATTCTGCATGTAGACCAAAGTAGAACTTACATGCATTTTTTTTCTAGAAATGAAACAACTGAAGTCATGTATTTTCTTTTTGACACAGGGTACTAGTTGCTTCCTGCGCTGGGTCAGAAACCTGGATGATGAACTGCATGCTATTATAGCTGGTAAAGCAATGATTAAAAAAGAATCATTATTGTATCGATCAGTAATAGGACTGAATCAGGAATAGCTTCCAAATTTATCTGATCTCTTTGTATCTCCTTTTTCTGTAATACAATCCCTATTGCACTAGTCTAAACATTTTGTATTTGTGAAATTTAACTATCAAGGCACTCTTGCCATCTGGTGTTTTGAGTTCACAATATATCTGCCCTCTAACAGGCCAGAAATCCTAGGGAATGTGTCACAAAAGAACATGAAATCTTAAAATATTATAGGAGTGATTATGGTACTATTTTAAATGCAATTAGATTTCTTAAAATATTCTGTTTTTACTAATGGTAAGTGACATATTTTAATTTTTATTATTTTTTAGGCATGTAAATAATTTTATAAATACTAAAGAAAGTTTCCTACAAGTGCATTGTATGTACTGTTTAAGTTGAGTAGACCATTTTTGGGGGGTATTTATTGGTAATTTTCCTACTATTAGAATTCCAGGTCTCCTCCCATCTTGGTTTTCCATTTTAGACTGAAGACAATAATATGAAAAGAAGTGTGATGATAGCACTAAAAATAATTTGAGCAGTTAGGAAAACAGATGAGTAATTATTTTCATTTACAATTAGAAATGATACAAATAGCCTTTAAAAATTATTTTTGAAAATTATGTTTGGCAAAATCACCACTGTTTTAAAGTTAAATTTGGAATGTGAAGTTTCTTATATGTATCAGAACTGTGTGTCACTAACTCTGAGATCAATTTCTTAATTTAAAAATACAGGATAATAAGAACTCACTCATTTTAATGTTATTAAATATATATTGACCCTTATTTTGATGTAACAAGGCAGTGTTATAGATCAATTTTTTCCTACTTAAGCAAATTTAAATTTCCAAATGACTTAATAACAGATACTTTAAGGTCTGATGAGTTTTGCCTTATTTTTTCAGGGTTTTTGGCAGGAGTATCAATGATGTTTTATAAAAGCACAACAATTTCCATGTATTTAGCTTCAAAATTGGTGGAGGTAAGCAAACATTTTTATCCATGTATAGTACCAAATTATACATAGCTGTTAAGTTGCTTTAGCAAAAAACATATATTCTAATTTTTTAAAGTGAATTATAATCCTATAAAAGTATATAAACCAAATCAATTGCTCTGTATACTCTTCTTTCTTTGTATTATTTTTTAAGTATACACAAATGGAGAAAGAATAGTAATTAACCTTCATGCACCCATTACACAAGCTTCAACATTAAAGCATTTGGCCAATCTCATGTCATCTATACCATCCAACCTCTCAACTACTGATTTATCATTTTTACTTTTAATAATGTTTGTTTATTTGTTTGTTTGTTTGTTTGTTTGTTTGTTTTGAGAGGGGGGTGGGAAAGAGGGAGAAACACAGATGTAAAAGAGACACATTGATCAGCTGCCTCCTGCACATCCCCTACTTGGGATCGGGCCCACAACCCAGACATGTGCCCCACTGGGAATCAAACCAGTGATCTTCCAGTGCATGGGATGATGCTCAGACAACTGAGCCACACTGAATAGGGCAAGTACTGATTTATTTTAAACCAAATCCCAGAGTCACTCTGTCTATGAGCAATTCAGGATAAATACTCCTGAAAGAATAAGGCCAATGGATAAGAACTACTTAAAAATAAATAAATCGACAGTATCACCAAAATATAGCCACAATACTATTATCTTTCATTAAGAAGAACCTAATAATTCTTTAATATTATCATACTAGTAGCCTGATGCATGAAATTTGTGCACAGGGGAGGGGAGGGTTCCCTCTGCCCAGCCTGCACCCTCTCCAGTTGGGGACTCCCTGGGGATATCCAACCACTGGTTTAGGCCTGATTATTAGCATATTACCCTTTTAGTAGTATAGATAGATTATATAGGATAGCGTTGCTTAAATGGGGGTGGGGAAAAAGCCTTCTTCGTCAGGAGGAGATGCTCTTGGCAGACAAAAATACATAATCCCTATATCTGGACTGATAGCCAGCCATATGCACCATACTCCCAAACTGGTCATTAAAAAATTGAACTGCTTTCTTACACCTTACACCAAGCAGCTTTTGCCCTTAAAACCCACCTTAGGTTCTGCCTTCACAGTTCACCCAGGTAGGTTCTGATTGGTTGGTTTCTATGCCATTCAACATCAAAAGCTCTACCTCCTAGACAATCATTGGCTCCTCACACTTCCCCCAGATTTAGTTCTGATTGGTCAGTTTCTATGCCAGTCATTGTCTTCAGGCCTATCAACGAACCTGATCAAAGAGGTGGGGCTGACCAGCCTCCCCAGTGGAGGCCCAAGAGAAAGAGAGGCATGGCTGCTGGCCAGGCCTGGAACAAAAGAGACAAGAGCTGATTAACAGCTGCCATGGAAGCTATGGATCAGACCCTGCTTCTCTCTCTAGGTCTCTCTTTGGACCTGATCTGCAGCCCCAGTGGCAGTCAGTGCTGGGTCAGGGTGCCCTCAGCAGCAGCAGTCAGTGCTGGGCTGCCACTGACTTCTGGTTGGTCGAGCCTTGGATTGTTTTGGATGTTAAGGACCCTGGGTTTTTATATATTAGGATATCCCATTAGAACTTAACATTTTCATTGATTGTCTCACAAAAGTTGTTTTTCAATACCTTTGTTTTAATCAGGATCCAAAGTTTTTTTAGTTTATTATAGTTTCCCACCCCTTCTTTTTAACCCTTGCCATTTATTTGTTGAAGATGTAGGCAGTTAGTCCTATGGAATTTTACTGACAGCATTCTCACTGGTTGTGTTAATATGCTTCTTTAACTCTGTATTTTCTGTAAACTGTATTATCTAGAGGCTTAAGCAAATTAAGTTTCAATTTTTTTTTTTTTTTTTTTTTGAGGGCGAGAGTGGTGTGTTGCAGGCATACTCCATAGTGACTGTGCGAATTCCTATTGCCTCACATTAGGAAGCACAAAAATGTTTGCTGTTTTTCCTTGTTGTGCTAAGATTAATCAGTGAACTCAGTGTTGATAGAGCCAGCATAAGGTTCCCCATTAGACTGTACTTATTGTATCAGCCATTAATGATAATGACCAAGAATCATTTGAGTGAGGGTTGCAAAATGGTCATGGTTGTGTGACCATTATGTGTGTGTTTTTTGTATTTAATAGTAGGAATTTTTCTGAAAAAGAACTTTCCCTTTTTAACTGTTTGGTTACTCTGAAATAGTTTGTTCACAAAGCCATAATAAAATGCCTGATTACTTCTCTTTATTTACCAGTGTTCAGAATGATTTATTCCCTAGCATCTTGCAATGTTGACCCATGAGTTTTTATTTTCAAATGTTATATGAAGTCATGGATTTTAACATATTTGATTTGTTTCAACTCATTGTAGTCATTGGTCTCAGATGACCCTTATTTGGCTCTGAGTACCTCTTAAAGTTGACTTCCATTTCTTTTTGGCATAATACCAGTATCTGTGATAGCTTTCATGTTTTGTGGTAAAACTAGATATTCCGGGCTCATCTGGGACATTTCCTGATTGATAGAATCGATTAGTCTTTTCTCCAATAGCCTTAGTTTCTTTTGGTCAGAGACTTTTGTCATTCAGAGACTTTTGTGGGGTGCCAGAGGCTTTTTGCTCCCAGCCTACCCATTGTTTCTTGGCCTTTCCAGTAAACAGAGCTAGAGAATCCTTCCTCCACCTCCTACTCCCCATCATTCTTTTTAGAAAAGGAGAAAGTAACTAAGAGCATATTGACATTTCCAGTCAAAATTAAGATTATACATTTTATTTAACTTGTTTGATTTTTAAAATTTTTATTTCACTGAAACTTTTTATCCTTATGACATTTAGAGAACTTCACATTTGCACTGAGAGAGAGAGAGAGATGCTTTCTCAGTGCAGTCCATGCAATTGGAAGTCATTGGAGTGTTTAAAGCATGGATATAACATGATTTAATTCACATTTTTAAGGAGAACATTCTGTTTGTTACATAGAAAGTGGATTAGAGACAAGACTGGAAGCTGGGAAAATAAGACAGGAGATGCTGGTTTGTGTCAGGATAGTAGCAGAAGAAATTGAGAGAAGTACACATATTTAGCACGTTTAGGAAGTAGAGTTGGCAAGTCTTGCTATTGGAGAGGAAAAGGGGAATGAGAGAGGAAAAATAACCCCTAGCTAGCAAAATACATTCTTTGACACTGGGGGAATCTATTATTGACACCTGGTTTGTAAAAAGTATGTTTTACAGCCGTTAACCTAAGTGGCTAGAGGTTTTTTAAGCCAAGCAATGGTATTGTTCTTTGTTCTCATTTCAGCAGCCCATATCTGATCTTGGCCAAAGAAGCTGGTATATACAGTGTGCCTCCGAGAGCTCTTTCAAATATAGGAAATTAGCAATTTAAACTTATCAGGTCCTTTGTTGAATTTACTTACTATGGTGTAATAGGCAGTTGTTTCCCTCTGATTGGAGTTAATTTTATATTAAATTGCCGTAATGCTAAATAATGAATATTAAATAAAAATCAGTTGTATAAGCAACTTATTTATTTATTCATTGAATATCTATTATATTCCAATTGTTGTGCTATGTGCTGACATATTGAAATATAGGATATAGTTCCCTTTCTTCAACTTAGAATCTAGTTCAATAGATGTGTTTTATCATAAGAAATTAGGAACACAATTATTCTATATATCAAAAGATAGCTGTTTCATAAGACATTTCTATGATTCCCTTTTACCACATCTGAATTTCATTTTCATCACTGTGAATATACCATAATGTGTCTGTACCTTGTAAATGTATTGTCATATTACTTTCAAAATAATGGTCAATGTTTATCTTGTTTCCTAAGTAGATCTATTTACTTAGGATTTTAAGTGGATTATAATTCTTTACACATAACTTGCATATTGAATTATATATTAAAATGCTGTATATTTATGAAAATTAAAATGCTTATTAAAATGAATACTAATTAAAAGTCAGCTATACAGATCAGTTTTTCATGGAAAAAATTACCTTATGTTATTTATTTTATGAGCTACTCATATCTTCTTAAACATCCCTCTACCCTTTTATAACATCATTCTCTTTTAAACTAGTTTTATTTTATTATTCCCATGTTCTAGGAAACCAGTTTCCATGAATTATTCTATGTTCTTTCCATATAAGTTAACAGGCTGTTCCCCATATATATTGTGTACTTGCACCTGCTTCTTAGCCCTGCTTTTTCTCTCTTATCTAGCTGTTGATTCTATGCCTCTTATTAAAACTGGGGCCATAGACTAGTACTAGTCCATGAACTATTTCCAGTGATGACAGGATAAGTAGAGACATTGAGAGTCAGCAATTGGACCCTTTTGTAGCCACTTGACAGAGTAATTGTCTTTTGAAAATAATAGTGAAAATTCAATTTTGTGTGTTTTAAATTTGTCTTTCTAGTAATTTGTTTTTGTTATAAAAGTATTAAGTTATAACAACTGGTCATATTTTAAAGCTTTTGGTTTGTTTGTTTTTATGCAGATGGTTTGAGAAGCACTACTCAAATGTAGTCATTTCTGAAATTCTCTGTGGTCCTAGACAGACTAGTTGCTTTCTCCTCTGGGGAGCCAAAATATATTTATTTATTATTAATTTATATATACAGACAAACATCTAATGAGGCTATATGATATCTATATATATATATACCTTGTAGCTAACTTACAGCCTCAGTAGAGTGCATTAATAATTTCTGTTGTGCACTAACCATTTTTTTTTTCAGACCCTAGCTCCTAGCATAGTATCCAGTATATAGTTAAATGAACACCATTAACTATTTAATGCATGAATGAATAGATATAACAGGGAGTGGAGAACCTGAGCATTTTTCAAAAGCTTTGAAGAGTAAATATATAAAAGAGGCAGAAGTAAAGTTCCATTGAATTTTACAGAAAGGTATTGTTATTGATACCTGGGATCTGGGGTAAGAAAATGAGGGCGTAGGGGAAGGCTAACACTTAAAACTGTTGTAGAAGATGATTTGAGCCTCAAAAGAATTGTTAGGATTTTGAAAAGTTAGAAAAAGACTTAGATAGGGAGCATATTGCTCAACTACATTGTTAATGCTATTTAAAGTTGTTTTCTTTACAAGTCTTGCATTATGCTTGTTTTGCAGACAATGTATTTCAAAGGCATTGAAGCAGGCAAAGTTCCCTATTTCCCCCATGCAGACACTATCATCTATTCCATCTCTACAGCAATTTGCTTCCAGGCAGTAAGTATAGCTTTTTGAAATGAGAAATAGAATTATTTCTCTTTTTAATGTGCATTGAACCAATGGGGGAAAAATAAAGGCCTAGGAACATTTTTATTTATTATATTTTATTCTTTGTGTGTGTGTGTTTTTAGCAAGATAGCTTGCAAGTTTCAAATCATTAAACATATTAACTTAATGGGCCAGTTCCTGTTTTAGGAGCACAACAATTTTTAGGTTTAAATAAAGTGCAATTTTTATAGGTAAATTATTACCTTAGTACCTTGGCTAAAATGGCCCAATTTAATTATACTTATTTTAGGAAAAAAAAAAAGAGTCATAAGTAAGAATAATTGCATTTCTGCAATATTATTTAGGCAGTGAGGATAAGGGTAAAAATTTTGCTTAATTATTCAATCTCTTTAAATCCTGTAATCATCATTATTGATGTTAATGGTATTAGGGCTGTTGGAAAATTTTGGGGACAGCTTTTATTTGCACTTTCGAGAAGTATTGCTGCCAACGCAATAAACTTGTAACTAGTGAAGTGTCAGCTACCTAATGGGTATTCAGTAAATGCTTCCTGATAATACTGACTTAATTAACTCAATGATTATTTCCCAAGCAATATTCACAAACACTCTTGATAATTATCAACTTTAACATAAATACATGTTTTTTATTATGGTCATCACTGTCATTTTTAAAACACAATGAGCAATAAAAATAGCAGTAAGCTACTCTATTGCCTAAGACTGCTAATAATCTTTGCCATTTACTAAAGGAAGTTTAATAAAGATCGAATACTCTCATCTTAGGCCGTCATGGAAGTTCAGAATCTGCGACCATCATACTGGAAGTTCCTTTTAAGGCTCACCAAGGGCAGGTAAGTGACTGAAATGTTTTAACTGGTCATAGAAACAAAGTAAGATTTTTTTTTTTTTTCCATAAGAAAGATTTTGGTCTCCTTGCAGGGATATTCTTTTATTCGTAAAGTAGGCTATCCAGATATAAATAAAATATGATCAGTTTAATAACAATAACAAGGAGTATTTTTTTAATAAATGTTATTTTGATTACTTTTCCCCTATATTATTTTAGATATTTTAAGTGTTGTAGATTAATATCATGTTGATTTGCAAATTAGTTGCTACCCAACATACTTAAGTATCACTTTTAAAATGTCTGATCTCTTCTTTTTTATTAAAAATATTAAACAGCTTCATACGAAATCATGCCTAAACAATGAACTGATTTCTATTTTGGAAAGACAATGGTGTTCTTTTCCCTAATATTGTAACCATACTGTCTTTTATCATTATTATCTTATTCTTTATTGTCTTTGTGAGCATTTCCTTATCTTAATCTAATTCTTTGGGAGGCAGCTTGACCTCCTAGGAAGACCATGGGCTTTGGAGTTGGATTGGCCTATTTTTGTCAGCTCTAAGACCTTTAGCTGTGTCGCTGGTGGGGAAGTTGTTTACCCTCATGAGCCTCAGTTTTTTTCCTTCTACCATGAAACAATAATACATACTTTGTAAGGCTGTAGGAAAATCGAGATGTTGATAATAGCACTTAGCACTTAATACTCAGTAAATTGTTGCTGCTATTAATATTATCACTATTAGTAGTAATAATAGCAAACAATTATAGAGTGCTTATTATGTCCCAGATATGGTTTTAAGATACACACATATGTATACATACAACTTCCATACATGTGTGTTTCATCCTTAAAATAACTATGACATAGGTACTAAAAACACCCCAATTTTACATATCTGAGATGCACAGAGATGTTAATAGCTTTCCAGAGTCACACAGCTAGTAAACGACGGACCTGTGATACGAGCCCAGCAGCCTGGCTAAAGCCTTCCTGTTAATGATGCTGGCGAATGACTTGAGGAGAATTTCACTGCTGTCTTCTCCAGAAGGAAGTGCTGTGGACAGGCCCAGAGACACAGTCCTTCCTGCACAGCAGCTACATTTGTGCCTTCTAAAAACTTTGTCTCTCGTAGGTTAGGTGACGGATAAAATGAGGGTGGGCTTTAACTCTGCTGAGCCTATTAGAATTTTGAAAAGCTGTGTGCTGTTTATCTTTTAATCATTAAATATTTGCTCATTTGGATGTGTTTTCTGCTGGTTGTGAGACATTAAAATCACTTATGAGAGAAATTACATTTAATATCTTTGCCTCGGTAACTGTTAGCCCATTTGTTGTTTATTTTAGTTTCTTGTGATTTCATCCATCAGAAAAATGGTCATGAATGTATTTTTCTGTTTGACATTATCTATTAGAAAGGATTTGAAAGAAGGATGATAATCTCTGGGATTTCCGGCCTGGGGATTAGTATCTCCTTAAAGAAAATACGGACAGTGCACCTTGAGGAAGTGCGCCTTTTGTCATGCCAGACTTTTCTCTTTTTTCACCTCATAAGTCAGGTAGAGTGAATCATCTCATTTTATAAACTCATTAAATACTTCTTTACTGTGTCCTCTGTTTTACAGATTTGCTGTCATGAACCGAAAAGTCCTTGATGTTTTTGGTACTGGTGCATCTAAACACTTTCAGGATTTTATCCCTAGGTTGGACCCAAGATACACGACTGTAACACCAGAGTTGCCCATCGAGTTTTCTTGAAGATGGCTGTAATTTATTAATGTGTCTTAACGTTCCATTATTTTATCCAGAAGAGTTAATTATGTTGAACAAAAAGAAGGGGGCCCGAGCTTGAATTTCAGTGTTATTTCAATGACAGATGCTCTTTTTTTGTTTGTTTTTCTTACCAATCAGAAATACAGAAGCTTTTTAGGAAGGTGTTGCTTAATAATTAAGCTCCCTTTGTAGCCAGAATCTGATTCTAGATCACTGTAGTGGTTGACATTATGATATATTATTGATTAAATTATGTCAACAAGCAATATTAAATAATCTATGTAAAAAAATAAGATATACTTAAAATTACTTTAAACAATGATTTTAGTTCATTCCAGTAAAATTCTTGGTTAAAGCTGAGAATATTTCTACATTTTGGGATACAAGGCTCATGGATACATGAATTTGGTCTTATGTCTTTGGAATTGGTAATTCGAATAGAGAAACGTGATGGGTATGAAATGTCTCTTCACAGACAATGCTGCTTTAGTATAGAATGATTTAAATGGCCATTCTTACTTCAGGGATTCAGAGGCGGCTCTCTTACTGTCTGGATAAATGCCGTGGCATCCACACTCTTCTTCCACGGGCTCCCTCATCTCTCTCCATGGTCAGCTGGGCTGTTCTGCAGCCCAGGGAACCTATGTGCTGATGGCAGGTTAGCTACAAGTGGAAATTGACACAACTGATAAAATTGAAATGTATGGTTTAATCTTTTGCAGAAGCATTACACTTGAATATTTAAAAGCAAATGAAGTTACTTTGAAACCTCCTGTAGGTTTGCTATGTTTGCTTTCATTTATAAGGACTGCATTTTTCATAGCTAAGTCTGTATGCCATTGTCGACTTAGAAGGGATCTATGAAACAAAAATAGTTTGGGCAGGTTTGGCAGTTTTGTTTCCTCTCAGCTCTTTCACCGACACAGTGGATGTTTTACATCTAAAAAGTGTAAAAATCCAGTGGTTGCTCAAGAATTCACTGTGTCACTAACGGCATTCAGGTTCTCTAGCCTCTTCAAAAAACCATTGTCATCGTTTTTACTCCTATAAAAATAAAGAAGTGACAGAATCCATCACTGCTGATTATGAGTTAGTTCAAGACAGATGTGATTGAAAAACCATCACTCTTAGGGTTTTTCAGAGAAAAGTTATACTTTTCTAAGGTAATCAGAGGCTTAAGTGGTTGTGATGTCTACAGTTAATATAGGGGTGATGGTATATTTTTAAATATAATTTTGTTGCCAGAAAGTTTTAAGCCATTGTAAGTTAATTATGCAGTGGAACTTGTGTTGCAACAAGAATTATAACCCAGACTTTAAAAACGCTTAATCCTCCATATTCAATTTCATCAAGCCTTGTACACTTCTGTTTACATGTAACTCTACCCTTGGTTGTTATGGAAAATTGAAACCCAACAACAAGACAGACTCTGGTGCCATGGTAACAGAGATCGACTCTTTAATTTGGGCAACGTTTTGCATTGTGGTTAACTTTTCAGAATTGACTTGTCTCTTAGGCAGTACTGTTTAAAAGATCATTTTGGTTTCAGACTTCAAAATTGATTAATAAATTAAGTTCTAAGTTTTTATTCACTGGAATCAAAATGGTAATTAGTACTGGATTTACTTGTAAAATGGAGCATGACAGCAGAGAAAAAGCTCTGCTGCTGGAACCTCATTTTCTCCATTTAGAAACTGTTTATAACATCTTCCCGCTGGTTCAAAGAAAAGGCATTTTCATCCATAAGTTGTTTTTATTGACATTACAAGGCTATGATATTGGAAGACAACTTTCACTGAAATATGATGGGGTTGGTGAAATTTTATTGGTTTAAAAGGTGCATTTCTATGATTTACTTTTTTCTTTTTTACACATGACAGTCATCTTTTATATAAAATGTGAAATGAAATAGCCATTGTGAAGCAGAATACAATAGTGAATGTACAGCTTGAAGGATTACTTAACTGATTTGCACTGGTGAATAGAGAAGGCGGGTTTGACTTGCTTGGGACCGACTGCAAAGTGGAGTTGCTTGAGCAAACACAGAGTATTTTTGCGTTCCTGATGACAATCAAAATGAATCTCTCTCTACCTCTAACTAATCAGGTATTGACTGACAACTTGGCATCTTAAATAAAGTCAAATATATGTCTCCATTCCAACATACGTTTTTAGTCCATTTATACGCTGAAGAAATTTTGCGTATGGTAACTTCCCACCAGAACTGATTGTATTAAACATTAATATGCCCCCTTACATTTCTTACATCTTTATGTCAATTGAAAAACAGGGCGTTGGAGTAATTGGAGTATTATGGTTGTTTCGTTGCCATTTCTTATATTAATAAAATCCTAGAGTTAATACCAGCCAGGTACCAACTGAATTTATAACAGATTGTCTCAAATCTGTAGGATTCCTACCAGTTTTTCATCAGAGAGGTTGAAGTCCATTTTATTACTAATTTCTTCAATAAAACCTTTGGTTCAATTATGTTTTTTATAAATTCCATGTTTACTTTTATAATTTTTTTTCTTGATCTCTAAATATTGTCACTCAGCTGTTACCGGGTTTATCTTTTGCCTTCATTTGTTGTTTAGTTGGTTGTTATTCATTTAAAATTTTATTCTTTGGTCTCAGATTTTACAATTTACTTTTTTCTAGAATGAACCTGTCTTTTGTGATGAAACCCACATTGGTTCATTGTCACAAAGTGTTTTCTTGTTGGGCTTGAGTATCGTCTCCTTATGGATTGTGTTTAGGCTAACATTTTATTTAGTTGTGAATAGCTTCTGCGTGTATTGTACCACATCTCTGAGTTTCTGAGCCCTCTGCTAATGCATAGTCAATGAGAATCAGTTTCCCTGGCCTTCGGGGGCTTCATTGCTTGCTGACGTGGCACCCTCCCGTGGTGGCGTCCTCCAGGCTGGGCAGAGGGCACGCATCCCCAGGGAGCAGTGCCCGTGTTCTTACTGCCTTTGAATCCGAGAAGCCACCAAGTTCAGAGTCCTTGAACGCTCCCTGTGATTTATTTCCATGTGTGTAAATAAAAAGTAGTTTGGCAGGACAACAAAAGCATGCTTTCATGGATGGCATTTTGTTCCATGAAGGCCAAAGTGTTCATTCTTGAACTGTGATCTTGCTCAGATACCTGATGAACTTTATCTCCCCCAGTACCTTGAACTGCTGCTGACTGTCTCCTCTATTCATTTTCAGATAGAGATTTTAACTGGAAATGAGTGACAAAGGAAAAACAATCAATGAAAATATAAGAAATGAATATTGTTTATATACATATGTATTAACTTCAGAGGGGAAGGGAGAGGGAGAGAGTGATAGAAGCATCAATGATGAGAGAATCATTGATTCATTGATTGGCTGCTTCCTGTACGCCCCCTACTGGGGATCAAACTGGAACCTCCTGGCTCAACCACTGAGCCACACCTGCCAGGCGAAATGGATTTTTTTTTTTTTTTTTTTTTTTTTTTTTTTTTTTTTTTTTTAGGACTGGGCAGAAACTGAGAAGTAAGTAAGGTTAGCTTAATTGCGGATGCTATGAGCTTGTTCATATAGTTACCTCAGCCCTGTGCCTTCCTCTTCATAGCTTGTCCTGTTGATGCCTTAGCTAGCTTTGCAAACTCTTCTAGTGGAATTAGCCAGGGAAGGGGTGCCAGGGACTGAGGTGACCCTGAGGTGAGAAGGCCGGGCTTGGATCCTGGGGCCCTGTGGTATCCCCTCAGCTAGCACAGGGGGGCCTCCGGGTGGAGGCTGTGTTTCTTTTTCAAGCGCTGGTCTCAGGTGACTGTCATAGCTCTGTAGTGTGAAAAGGGTAACGGCAGAGAAATGTGCCTACAATGGCGGGTGACCTCTGCAAGCAGAGGGGCAGGAAGTTGGGTTGCCGCGTGGGGAATTGGAGTCTGATGTTTCACACTAAGAGAGGCAAGTGGCTTTTATTGGAGGAAAGGATTAATATCTGGTAACCGTTGTCTTGCTCTCTGGTGTGGCAGCTCTCTCTCCTCAACCCTTGTGCTCCTGCTCGCTCCTCCTCTCCTTCTCAGCCTTGGAACCTTTATGTCTGACCACTTGCTGCCCTTCCACACTCCTCATTCCGCTTCTTCCTGCCTTTCTTCTGTGGGAAAGCCTGCAGCTATGTGTCCTGAAGGAGAGCGCTCTCTCTCTCCATCCATGACAGCTCGGGCGTGTGTGTGTGTGTGTGTGTGTGTGTGTGTGTGTGTGTATGTATGTGTGTGTGTGTTGGGAGAGGGGGCTCTGAAGAAAACATCTCCAGGTTCAGAGACTTTTGATGTAACTGTGCTTTTCTCAGGCAGGAAGGGATGGAGGATAACTGTAGATTATGCATACAGACGTGGAAGGATGTTCCTCTGTCCGCGGGCCCTTTAAAGCCAGGACAGTCAGTCTCTTCTCAGCAGCCCCATAGCATCACCTGACTCTTGCTGTGGTTACTGGGAAGGGACAGAACTCCTTTGCTATTTTTTATTGCTTTCTCCATTATTTTCCCTAAGTGAAATTATATATTGGGCTTTATCCTTGCAAACCTGAGAATCCCAGTAATAACACCCTATCTATCTATATCTATCTATCTACCTACCTACCTATCCATCCATCCATTCATCAAGTCCACAGCAGCAGTATCAGGCAAGGTGCAATTTGTACTTTTTCTAGCACACAAGCCACTGTGCTTGCCTGTTTTGTTGTTGTTCAGTCTGTTGCCCACCGCTACCTTCTCCCTCTGGAGCCTGGCATTCTAGTTTTGTCAGAAACCCCCAGGCTACGGGCAGTGGGTAGTTCCCTGCAGCCTCAGCATCTCCGAGGTGAGGAGGTTCTGGCTTGCACAGGGGGCCTGCAGACCTGTATTGGCTGAGGTCACCCAGCAGGATCACTTTCCTCTGCCCCTGAATTTGGACCTGGCAATCTCTGAATCCCGTTTCCTTAATGCCTGTTAAACTTCTCAGTCATCAATCAATTCCGTTAATGTATTTTCTTTTCAAATTACTTGGTCCACAAGAGGACCCTGTGGCTACAGAGAGGGATTGGCGCCAACTGTCCAAAAAGGTTTAAAGCATGAAGTAATCCTGTTGTTGGTCATTATGGGGTGGGGTGCCAAAAGGGATGGGTGAGGAGATACGATAAACACATTTTCAAGTCTCCCCCCTTCCCTCTGTGTCTTTCTTTGCCTTCCCAAACCCGCGCTTTTCTACCATGTCTTTCCCTCTTATTTCTGCAGTTAGAGAAGTATTTACAGGGTAGGGGGAAGTAGGTTCCCAATTATTCCTAAGGAAACTAATACCACAACAGTAATAATACAAGAATAACCTCAGTGTTCCATGTACTCACAACTGTAAACCTACTTTTGCCCCAGCCTGTCTGTTTTTTCTCGTTTGCTTCAGTGAGAATTGCAGGGGTGACATTGGCTGACACTTGATCAGGGAAGAGCCTGCAGGAATGTTGTTGAGTCTATAGAAAAAGAGGTCTCTTCTCTCCTCCTCTTCCCTCAGAAGTGAGCCCGAGGGATTCATTCAGAGTAGGAAAGTTTGGAGCCGTGTCCCGTGACGTGTGTGACAGGTGGACGCCATCAGACTCGGCGTGCTGAAGAGACAGTCTGCGAAGGGGGAAGAAAGGGATCCTCCCGGCATTAAGAAAGCAGGGGCAATGTCTGCAGCCTTGTTCCAAATAGAAGGCTGCCTGGAGGCCAGGGTCAGTGAAGGTATTGACTGCTCAGGGGCCTGGCTTTGTCAGAGCAATCGGTGTTGGTGGCCTAAATGGTTGAAAGGCCTTATGACGCTTAAGAAAAGACAGCAGTTACTTCCTCCCTAAGTTAGAAATGTACTGAATGTGTTGAGAGGTTTTATATGAATAAAGTTTTTAGTCATCCTTTTGAGATTGAATTTGTAATGTAGGTGAACTCTATCCTTGCAAACCTGAAAACTGCAAATTTCTTCAAAACTACAGAAATTCAGTGGCATCTAGGTCTGAGCCTGCAGTTTTTGAGAGCCTGTGGTTCTCAAAAATATAGTAAGGTTCTCTTAAATCCTAGGAGGGCAGGAGAGATAAATCTAAAAACTGGAGGGATAATTGAATCATCGGCATCTTTTTTTTTTTTTCTTTGCTAGTATGCTTCCTGTAACTTGGATTAAAATTAAAAAATGGGAATGCACTTGGTTATTAATTGCCCAATTACTGGCTGTTTAATCCTCTTCCTTGCTGATCAAGCACTGATTTTGTTTAAAGAGCAAGTTGCTGAGCCCCAGTGGAGGGATTATATTTTTCCTGGGCCTTTCAAGTCACATCTTACTTCTTGCCCAGATATGTTTCCAGCCTATCGGACAATGGTCACAGCCCCATTTTGTGCCAATAAGATGGAATGGAAAATGGGGAACTGTTGGAAAATTTTTTCTTCCTTGATTAAAGAACTTGATTTCTTGTTCAGAACACCAGTTAATGGGATCTGGATCTGTGGCAACAATCTTGCAAATATGAGGTGAAAAATGCAAAGATGAAAAACCCATCTTGTCAAAGATGTCAGATCAGAAAAATGGAGGGAACCTGCCTCCCAGATGATATTCTTGAGCCACTGAGTCAGTGCCAGTAACCACATACCTCAGAGCATTCAGAGAACACAAACCTCCATAGCTCAAGACTGTATTAGTAAAGGATTCTTTAAGCTAAAAAACATTTCTAATTGACACATTCCAATCCTATGTATTAGATCAGGCCTCAGATTCATTTCCCAGGCTATGCCTCCCTCACTTGACTTGAAAGCTCCCTTCTCCTTCCCTTTTATTTTATTTTTTTTTTAATATATTTTATTGATTTTTCACAGAGAGGAAGAGAGAGGGATAGATAGCTAGAAACATCGATGAGAGAATCATCTATCAGCTGCCTCCTGCACACTCCCCTACCGGGGATGTGCCCGCAACCAATGTACATGCCCTTGACTGGAATCAAACCCGGGAACTTCCAGTCTGCAGGTGGCCAAACCGGATTCGGCTTCTTCCCTTTTCTATGTTGTATGTATCCTAAAATATTTATCATCTCCTCTTCAAAGGTTCTGCTGATCTTTTATCTGTCTTTCTGAAGCAGTTTGCTAGAACCCACCACCCCACCATCACAAAACACATTCCCGTTGATTTTGATTAGCTTTATGCTCTCCCGTTGCTTCTTCATGTTGTGGTCTATATTTGAAGAGCAAAGATCACAGCTTATCCCCCACCTCTGTGCCTAAATCGGGTTTGGGGAGGGTTATGGTAGGAGATGGTAGTCTCAGCAACTGCCTGTTGAATACGTGCTAACTCGGTGGCATCTGCAGACTGAAAGTCCATCCTTAGCCCTCGCCATAAAAGTCTGGAAGATATTATCCTTACAAATGATTTTGTAAATACTCCGGGAAATTGGCTCCTCCTGCCACTCCAGCAGCGAAGCCAGTTTGGCTCCAGGTCTTCGAGAAATGATTTGTCATCTGTTTCATTTGTTTGCTTTTTCCTGACACAGCTGGAACTCTGGATTGTTCCCCACTTAAAAAACTGCCAAATCCAAACCAGAAGTAGACGGGGCAGGACACAGGCTTTTCCTTCCCACTCGTCTTCCCAGGGTAGAAGTCACAGGAAGTTTGCCTAGGGTTACCTTTCGTGTATGCTTTTTTCAATAGCACGTTAGGATTATCCTTTTCCTGTAACAGGATCTTAAGATACTCGAGAGGGAAAGGCTTGGAATTGTTCTTATCAATGTAGGCAGGTCCCTTACACATAGCTTCTTGTCATACTTTTATGGGGAGAAAGAAGGAAACCACATGTATGAGGTGCCTTTGACATATTGCTTACATCACAAATTGCTTACATCACATTCAGACCTCACAACCTATGAGATGGATATTATTAGTGCTGTCGTACCGATGGGAGAACTGGGAGTCAGAGAGGCTGGTGCTTTGCCCGGTTGCCAATACTGGAATTTGAGCTCAGATATCTAAGAGTTGAACGTTTGTTTGTTTTTCTCCCCTCACAACATAGCTGTACCTCTTCAGAAGTAGCATCTTCACTCCCCTCCCGTAAAAGTGATCATATAACATTTTAATAAAAATCTTGCCTTCTAAATGGTTTTGACATTTACTTTGACCTCAGATAGAAGAACAGGAACTGGAATTATCTTCTCACTTGAAAACACTTGAAAGAATTCCTGATAAGATATATGAAACAACAGTTTTAATACACTACACATCAAGCACTGCAGGCCAGTGGGCTCGGAGCGAAGAAAAGCAAATGGGTTGAGTCCTGTGCTTGCCCCAGCTGATTGCAGCTCCAGGAGAGAGCACCACAGCAGAGCCCAGAGGTCCCCCTGAGCTGAGGAAACAGACCTGGGGTCCAAAAGGCCAAAGTGGGGGACACTCAGAGGGCTGAGTACAAGAGAGGAGTGCGCTGCACAGAAGGAAAGCGGAGGGATCTGAAGAGGGTTCCCTGTGGGACTGCATGCACAGGAGGAGACTGCTGAAGCTGTGGAAGGAACCACCATCAGAGTTCACACAAAGCAACACCTAGTTGGTGTCCCTCCTAGCCAGAGTAGAAAACTGTAATTCAGACGCCTCTGGATAGCAGAGCCTGACATGTTTTGCTTCAGTAGGAGAGCAAAATTAGCCATGGTCTAAAGCCTCAGAAGTATCAAACTGTTTATAAGTAACAATATCCTAGAACAAATTATAAGAATATGGGGATACAGGTATGTTAAATATGCAACAAGGTAAAATTCAAAATGTTTGGCATCTAATAAAAAATGGCTAGGCATGCGAGAAATCAGAAGATACAACCACTAAGAGGAGGGAGGGAGATGGCGCAGGGGAGAAGGAAAGGAAACAGACTCAGAAATGACACGAATAATACAATTATTGTTTGTACAAAAGGGTATTGTAACTATATATTGCGTAGTCAAGAAGGTAGTGGTCAAGAAGTAGAAATGAGATAGAGCATGTGAAGTAGAGGCACAGAAGATAGAAAAGGGATGAGAAAATAACATGAAAGATGATGAATACACCGAGTGGGATTAACAATGGAGTAGAAAGCAAAAGAAAAGGTTACAGAACTTGAAGACTTATCAGTAAAAACTACTCTAAACTATTTGAGTTAAACATGGCAAGTAGTGGTCAAAGCTTCCATGAACAGGGCCACTCCAGGCAGCCTGGTAAACAGAGGCAAGGACGTGGGTGTGAGAAAGGAAAAGGTATGGGAAAATGTTTTTATTTTGTGTTTTCATTGTCCTTCACGTCATTTGAAGACAAAATGTCCAACATTTTAAAAAAAAATTGGTGAAAACTATAAATTCACAGGTCCAAGAAGCTTAATGAATTCAAGAACAAGAGATACAAAGACAGTTACACCGAGGCACAGCTTAAGCTAGTTTAAACCAGTAATAAAAGACAATGGCATGGGGAGGGCAGTGCATGTTACATACAGGGAAGGAGCTCAGGTAAAAATGGCAGGAAACTTCTCGGAAACAGTGGAAACTGCGAGTAAAAATGGAGAGATTGTCACATTGAGTACACAGTGGAACACCATCTTCAACGATAGAAGGAACAAAACCGAACCTACCACCTAGATCCCGGTGTTCAGGGACAATATCTTTCAAACAAAAAGGCCAAATGCTTTTTCAAATATCTAGAAGCTGAACGACTGTATCACTGGTAGACCTGTACTACAAGAAGTGTTTTAAAAAGTCAAATAGATATAATTCCATGTGGAAATATAGTAAATATATGGATAAGCATGAAAACTTTTAAATTGTTATTTTTAAATTTCTTTGAAAGAAAATTGACTACTGAAAGCAAAAATAGTGACAGTTTATTGTGGAGTTTATGACACATGTCAAAATAAAACAACTGCACGGTTTAGGAAGAGGAAATGGAGGTATAGTATGGTAATAGTCTTAGACTATAATGAAGTGGTGTAATATCACTTGAAGGAAAACAGCAGTAAGTTATAAAAGATGTATAGTATAACTCAGGTAATCTCCTCCCTCCCCCGCAAAGAAGTGTTATAACTAATAAGCCAACAATAAGAACAAAAATACAGTGGAGTTAGTAAGTATTCAGTTAATCTGAGTGAAGAAAAAGGTGGGGAGTGGGAACAAAGATAAAACATAAAGTAAATAGCAAGATAATAGATTTATTGGTAAGTCCCAACTATATCAATAATCACATTGATTGTAGATGGTATAAACAATAAAAATGGAGAGATTGTCACATTGAGTAAAAAAAAAAAAAAAGGCAAGGCTTAACTATATGCTGCCCAATGAAACCCACTTTTAAGTATAAAGACACTTGTTTAAAATAAAAACATGGAAAAATATATCATGGTCACAATAATTTAAAGAAAGCATATGAATTGAAGTAATAGTGAACAGTTAGATTTCAGAATTTGAGAATATTTCCAAGATTAGGATTATCATGGTTGTTTATAATGATAAAGGGTCAGTTTAACAAGAGGAAATTACAATCTTAAGTGTTTATGTGCATATTAATTTCTCAATATGTGAGGAAAAGACAAACTACGTAGAGAAAAATAACCAACCCACACACATAGTTGCATGTTTCAACACCTTCAATAATTGAAAAAACATGTAGACAGAACAGTATTTTGAAGACTTGGAAGCCACTATCTGCCATCTTGACCTACTTGGCCTGTAGCACGCCACCAAGCAGCACAATGCACACTCCCTTCATGTATATCCAGAACATTTCCAAAAGAGTCCATATTTGGGGCTACAAAGCAAGTCACAATAAAAGGTTCAAATCATACAAAGTATATTCTCTGGCAAAAGAAAAAGGAAAATTAGAAATCAATAACAGATCTGGAGAGTCCCCAAATATTTGAAAACTGAACAACATGTTTATAATGAAGAAATAAAAATAACTTAGAAATATATTGAGTTGAAGGAAGATGAAAACAACATATTGAAATTTATTAGCTACAGATAAGGTAATATTTAGAGTAAAAATTGTAACACTAGCTGTCTTTATTAAAATAGAACAAAACTCTAAATCTGTGATTTCAACTTTCATCTTAAATATCCAGAAGAAAGCGCAAGTTAACCCCAAAGTAAGCAGAAAAAGAAAGTAATAAGCATAAGATCAGAAATCAATGAAATAAAAATGGGAAAATGAGAAAAATTAATGAAACCAAGGGCTGCTTCTTTGAGAAAAATCAATAAAGTTGGCAAACCTCTAGCCAAACAGACTGATAGAAATGAAAAGATGACACAGGACTATCAGGAATAAGAGAGGAATATCATTCCATAGTCTTCAGAAATTAAAAGCATATTCAACTTTATAAACAACTTTATCCAATAACAATTATGATTTAGATGAAATGGCAAACATCTTAAAAATACAAATAAACAAATCTCTTGAAAGAAGGACTTGTCAGTCTAAATAGTGCTGTGTCTATTAAAGAAATTGTATTTTTAGTTAGGTAAAAGCCTTCCCACAAACAAACCTGTAGTA